CTGGCACCCTTGGAAGGATCTCGTGGCGCCCCCGGGCACTTGGCACGCCGGTTGAGAGCTGCTGCGCTCGCACTGTGCTGCGCGGTCCTTAGCAGAGTGCAACGCACAAGGGACGGACGCGTGTGCCAGGACGCTGGGGTGGCCGCGTGCCCGCCGTGAATCTCAATACGGCCTGGCTGTCCCACTGTCCCTGCTTCATACACCTGCCCCCTCCACGCCGGGGCCCTTGTGACTTATCGCTGAGCCCGCTCACCAGGGTTTGACAAGAGCTCCTTCCAAACAGACAGCCAGTTTTGGTGTAAAGATGGGTCCATCCCTGCCTTTGCGACTTGATCCCCTTCCTTGTTCCTGCCATGAATTTGCTGGGCTTGTCCCAGCCCTGAGTCCTGGCCGTGCCTTTCTCTGCTGGAGGAAGGAGCCCCTGGGGACCAGCTCTTCTCTCCATCCTTTCCCCGGGCAACCAAGACAGCCCGCAAGTTGCTTGTTGATAATATGAACAGCGCGAGCCGGCTCAGGCTCTCCCTGGACGGTGTTTACTCCGGCCCGCAAATCCCTCCCAGCCCTTCTCAGCGTCCTTTGCAAAAGCAGACCCAGGGATGGTCTCCCCAAGCCCCTTCCCTGCCCCTACTCACCGCTCTCCTGTTCACCATACACGACCTCCTTTCGTTCTTCCACGGTGCTGCTTCGATCCCCTGGCCCAAGGGAGACCCGGGAGCCCTCGACCTGCCTGGCAGGAGCGAAGCGGCCAAATGCATCACCTGTGAGGTGGCGCCCGGGCTGGATCAGTCTGCCCGGGGCTGTTGCACACAGCGCCGGCTTTTGCTCAACTGTCCATGCAGGTCCAGTGTCACCAACCCGCCGGCCGGGGCTGCAAGGGTATTAAAAGCCCCTCCAAAAACTCTCTGCATCGCCTGCGCCTTGTTTACGGGCTGTCAGCTCATGTGCATCCGTGTCTGCGAGGCCACGCGGTGCTTTTCTGACGTGCCCAAGCAGCGCTTCATGCTGCCTTCATGCTGGCACCAGGTTTCGGTGCCTCATCCTTACGCCACGCTGAGAGGCGTGTCTTTTCTGCCGCTGCTCCGGCATCTCCTGTGGAGGGGCCCGGTCCTCACGCTCTGCCGACGGCTCCGTGCAAAGCGACGGTTTGCTCTGACTCCGTGCAGCAGCTAGCGCCCAAGCAGCCCGGCCTCTCCCCGGCCCAGCCGCCAGCTGCTCCGGCTCGCATCCCTCAGCCTTGGGCACGGCTAGCATACGGCTCTGTCGTCTCCCCGGCGTCTCGTCTAGCACGCGTGCCTTGCCGTAGTGACAGCCGCGCGTGCATCGCGGTTTGCTGGCCCGTCTGCCTCGCTCAGCCTAGCGGCGCTCTGTCCCATTGCACTCGCACACGTTTCACCCTCTTTGATTTCTCTGCTAGACGCCGTGCACGGAAAGAGCGGAGCAGCCCTTGCTCTCTGCCCAGCCACGGCCCCTCACTTCCCAGCCCTCCTGGCCATCGGGGTGAGGGCTGCCCAGCCCCACAAGCACCCCCAAATGAAACAGGGGGGACTGCGGGGCTGCTGGGACACCGCAGGGGTGAGCTATTGAGAGCAGGGAGGGATGGGGGTGCCCCGGAGATGGGGACGGTTGCAGCTTTCTCCTCTTGCAGCGTAGGGAGGAGTGGGGCAGAGCGGGGGTGACAACGCCCTGACCCCTGGCAGACGGACAGCATGTGTGTGTGTGTGTCTGTGTGTGTGTGTGTGTTGGGCGGGTAAGACCACAGGAATCCACATCTGCAGGTGTTTGTGTGTGCAAGAGAGTGTGTCTGTGTGTGAGCGACTGAGAAAAGACACATCGTCATGTGTGTGTGACAGAGCACGTGCGCATGCAGCAACCACAGGAGCCCACATCTGCAGGTGTTTGTGTGTGCGAGAGAGTGTGTCTGTGTGTGAGACTGAGAAAACACACATCATTGCGTGTGTGACACGGAGCACGTGTGTGTGTGCAACAGCACTCATTTGTGCGGCAATGTGTGTGCATGTGTGATACAGCATGTGCGTGTGGCAGAGAGGACACATCCGTATGGGACGACACGTGGGCACATATCATAGAAAATTAGGGTTGGAAGGGACCTCAGGGGGTCAAACGCGAGTGTGCAAGAGCGCACATCTGTGTGTGTGACAGAGAAAACACAGCTAGATGTGTGTGACAGAGAGCATGTGTGTGAACACACATCTACATGACAGAACAGGGTGTTTGTGTGTGACAGAGCATGCACGTGACAGAAAGCAGGGCCGTGTGCGACACTACACACGTGCATTTGTGTGTGACCGAGCATGCGTGTGAGACAGAGCGCGTGCGCGTGTGACCGAGAGACAAAGGAAAAGAGCACATCTGTGTGTGTGCATGTGCGTGTGTGTGTGTGTGTGGGCGGGCGAGACAGCGGCCCCGTGCGTGTCTGGCTGTGCTCACACCCACATGTGTGCGCCTGGCTCCCTCTGGAACACAACAGCCGCCTTTATGCGGAGCCCCGCCTCCCCGGCGGCCGCGGGCGAGCTGCTTGCTAATCGTTATTATGCTCGTTAAATGAGTGAGGGAATGTGCCGGACACAGGGCCTCATTCATGCCCGCGCTGCATTCCCGGCCCCTTCCCCCGCGCCCCCTCCCCACTGCCCGCGGGGCTCGGCCGCTGGGCAGTGCCGCCCGGCCTGGCACGAGCGCCCGGCAGCCTCGACGGGTCAGCGGGACACAGCTTGGCTCGGGGCTCCCAGACCCGCGCGCTGCGACTGCTGCTGTTACGCGCCGGGCCAAGGCGGTCGCTGGCACGGGTGCGAGCACCGTGCAAAACAGAGACCCCCCGCCCCGGGTCCGGGTGAACATCTGCAGAGCCCTTCGCGGCCCCTGTAGCCACGTGCCCAGCCTGCCGCTGCCCTCCTTCAAATGCTGCTCTGCCACGAAGCCTAAGGACGTGGCCGTGGTCTGGATGCCGGCCAGTTCTGTGCGTACAGCACCCAGCGCGCCCGGCAAGGGTTTGGACCTATAACAGCCCGGGCAGGTAGGACGCTCTGCAGGTGAGGGCAGAGAGCCGGGATGCCCAGGCCCCGGCCCCGCTGCTGGGTTACTCAGCAGTGACAGGACACGCGGTGGCCCTGGGCCAGCCACGCCGCGTCTCGCCAGGGAGGGGACGTCACAGATGGAGCCTGCGCTTCGCCCCCACAAACCTCGGCCCTGTGAAAGTCTAGAGGGACACGGGGCCTCGCTCCCGGCCCCAAGACCTTGCTCTCTCCAGTGCAGTATCTGCGGTTCCTGTAGGGCCTATAGAACCGTCCCCCGCCAGCAGCAGCTCAGGGCAGGGCTGGCACCATCACAGGCCGTGACTGCAGGCGGGGGAGCAGCAGCAGAGCCGGGGCAGAGCAAGAGCAAGACCTGGAAGGGGCAAGACCAGAGAGG